AAAAAAGCAAGTGTATTCTGGCTATTGTTTCTCTACAAGTCAGGGGCCAACCTTTATCATGAGGAGACTGTGAGTAGTTTGTTATCTGTAGGACAATCAGCTGTTGTCTTTCTGCCCTATTTCTTTAAGCACAGCTTATACTGACAAGGAGAATGTCCACTCAACCACTCTGTTTTAAAAGGTGTTACACTCTTCTTAAAACCCTTTCTAAGGTGGCATGTGATGGGAATACACACAGACACTCAGCTGCAAGAGTCAGTAGACCTCATATCAAACAAGCCATACTATCCACAGGGTAGAGTAAATGCACATAAATCACATATTAAATAACTGGAAGTAGATAGTGTGAACAACATATTTTAAAAAATGAGTCTCTATGAATCAGAAGAGATTTTCATTAAGATTTATTTTACCTCTCTAGTTATGAAATCAACTTACTTGTATTCTCCAGCACAATGGGATGACATTCATTGTGATCCAGTGGTACTGATTAGACCTTAACATATTGGAAAAAATGTGGTTTATGCCACTAAGTAAATCAGAGACTTCTGCACCAGCTGGAAACTAAGACCTGAAACCATCTGAACTGCACTGTTCTCTGTTGCTCGTGGAACCGATTCCTTCTCTCATGGTGGAAATATGAACACTCAATATGCAATGCACATCAAGTAATTTTCCTGTTTAGCTTTTCTAACTGTTGCATCACATTTTTAATATTCCTCTCTTTGTAATTTAGTCTAAATAAAGGCTCTGGTATTAATTTAATTTTTTTGAGAGAAAAATGAACCCTGCAAAAGCAGAGACATGCATTGCCCTTCCACTAATCAATTTTATAACAATTTTATTTTTTATTGGCCTATCCCAGTGAATGAAATTATCATTTTCAGATGAGAGACATATTAGAGCCTAGACTGTTAAGCCTGCCAAAACTTGTCTCCATGGCAGGACTGAGTGTGATTTTCATACAATCATTCTGCTTCTCAAATTGTAATAGTGACAACGTGGGTTTTTTTCACAAGTATTTTCCTGGGGGTTCCCTATGAATCATGTACACAAGGAAGCTTTTTTTTTTCTTCCTGCTGTAAGGAAAGGCTGCCTACACTTGGACACAGCTGTGAGAACAGAAACCTGCCCCTGTGGGGCAGTTCTTCCCAAGGCTCCTGTGATGAGGAGAGCTTGTAGAGGTCTGGGAAAGCAATTAGGGAAAAGGCTAACGTGTGAAATTGCCAGAAAAAGCACAGACATTAATCACTCCTCTAATTCTCATAATGATTCTCAGATGTGGTAACTCAGAAGCATCCCTTGATGTTTATGTGAATCCAAGCCATTATAGCTGATATAGGGCTATTTGAATTACTATCAACAATATTTGAGGTTTTGTAAAGTATAATAGCATGCAGTTTGATTACCTGTCTCATATAGATTGATTTTTGTAAAGTTGTTCATGACTGACATGCAGTCTGGGACATGGGGAAATCTGGTCTCAGGTTGTTGTCTACTCCCTTTACAGAGAGATGATGATGAGAAGTTTCTGGTAAGCAGGGTAGAGAAAAACAGCTGAATGACAAGGGAGCTTTACTCCCAATGTCCTTAAAGTGGTAACTGTTCCATTGGATCCATTCAGATCCGTTGATGATCAGAAAGCTTTGGGCCTTGAAAAAATGAGTGCAGAGAAAAACAGCATTATGGGAACATAATGAATGAGCTTCACAAACACAGAGGCCCTTCATAAGTGGCAAAGCTTGTCAAAAGTCCCATGTAACTGTGACAGGTATTGCCCAGATGCTATTGAGTTTCAAACAGGAGATGGAGTCATGTCGATAGTATCATGGAGATTTTTTTCAAGCAATTCTTTGCATCCTGTTGTAAATGAGAGTGGATTACCCTTTTCTTTTTCTATATAGCTAAAGGTTTCTGTTCACACTTCTTCAATATCTGAATGCTTCATAACCCTCCATGGTTCTTATCTTCACTGCACCCCAGTTCTAGGACTTGTTACTATCTCCAATACCTACTCTCTAGAAAAGCATAATTAAAGAAAGACCTGGCAATGTGCTCTAACATCACCCAGCAACTTGCTGACCGAGGCATATTCCTTCCACTGAGTCAGGTGAACAATTCCTTGCGTGTATCTGTCCTTTCCCCACACAACATTTTTTGTGACAGACTGGAGTCAAACAGCTTTTTTTTCTTTCAGCAGTGAAACTTATTTTTGCCTTCTGTGTTTTACCACAACTGTTGGATGAGAAGAAAAATAAATCCACCTGCCTGAGCTATTCACAAGGTTGTTCTTGTCCCTCTTTAATGTGGGGCATCCATGCTGCCTTATTCTCTGCAGCTGACTGTCCTTCTTTGCTCACCTTATAAAACATAGAAAATCACCTTTCCCCCTACCCCTCCAACTGTCTGGTTGAGGAAATGCTTTAAAGGGCAAAATTGCAGCTCCTTCAAATGCTGATTCACAGAAGAACATGAGCTTTGATTTATAATTAAAGCTCTGAAAATCTTTCATTACAAAGCTGGGAAGAGCTAGGGAAAAAGCCATCCTCACCTGTTTTCTGTCTCACTTCACTATAAACCTGGTTCATGTCTGTCCCCTGGCTCTGTGTTTGCACAGTTTTTGATGGTACTGGTATGAAACAATTTCGAAGGGAAATTTTAAGGTAAAAGGAAATCGGAAACATCTTTTTTCCTCATAATTTCAGGACAGGGATTTTTGCTTCATTTGAAACCAGAGAATGTTCAGAATTTCTGTGTGACTTTAAGAAAGGGCAAAATTTGTTCTTACTTTTGTCTTCTCCCCTTCTTTTCCCACTCCCCTCCCTCCACAAACAACAAATATTATTTCTCCATTTCACAGCCCTGGTGACTCTGGAAGTTACAATTTCATGTTGACACGGGCTGAGCGTCTGTCTGTTCACAAGACAATTGTCTGTACTTTTGCTTATGAGCTGCATTTTGCACAACATGGCTAATGCCACTTCTACCCTGAACAGGAGAGAAGAAACCCCACTGCCATGAAAACACTTGAGTTCCCTCTTGGCTTCACTCCCTTGAAAAACAGTCTGTGCAATAGTAAAAACCCACTTGTGAGGATACATCTTTGTTTGAATGAAAAGATGAGCATGAGACTTAAACAACAATATTTCCTCTCCTTAT